CTGCTTGACTTTTAGAGACGATTTTCTGAGAAAATGTCTCTAAAAACTTTAGGGACAGTTTTTGTTGCGAATAATTTGATTTCAAATCCTTATCTGAAAATCATCTTATATTCAGTTACACTTCTCACATCTGTCGTATAATTCCTTCTCTAAAAATCACCTTTAGTTACGCTTCTGAATTCTTCTCTAAAACTTTCTTCTCTAAAAACCCTGTCTCTTGTAGTGTGGTCTATTGAGACGCTTAGAGATTGGGGTGTCCTATAAAGCCAATTTTGTTGTAGTGATAATAATATAAAAACGGCAGCAACAATAGTAATAAGTTAATGACAACAATAACAATACATATCTATCGATACAAGACAAATATATATATATATATATATATATTAATATATATATATATATATATATATATGTATATTTTATTGATGTAACTTTTGAACCCCCCTCCCCCACCAGACAACTTTTCCCCAACCCCCATTGCCACCCACCTCCTTGACGTTATAATACAAACAAGTGGCTACTAATATCGATCATATGATGTTTAACATGCCATTCTTTATTGACATTGATGGAAGTATTAGAGCTATTTGTTGATCAGTAGCATTATCAATAAGGAACTCTATGATCGTTCTTTTTCTAATTTATAGATGATAAAAATGGTTGAATATTTTTGCTACAATTATGAATTACATGTTTTAATATTGTTAGCAAGATAATTCTTCAATAGCAATAGTAGTTGAGGTTGTAGTAACTTGACCTTGTAGGAAGGAGGTTACTAATGGCGAGCTTATATGACAAGGACATGAGATATTTGCATTCATAGTTTCTACAAGTTCTAAGTCCAACTACTAAAGGAATTGTTGTAATTATTGAACAACTTCACCTTAATTCCCAACAATAAAATTCAATCAAAGCAAAAGTCAATATGCACCAATCTACTTTTATAAATAGCCGTTGTTTATATATTGAGGGTTCTTCCTATTCATGTGACATCTTGTCCGACATCAAAGTCAATCTTAAACTAGATTATTTATATATGGTACTTAATTCAATAAGTTTGTTTATAACTTAATTTTCTATATTACTTTTTTTTGATTATTTTGAAGAAAATTTGCATTTTGCAGTTTAATGCTGTAATATCCTATAACCCAAATCAACAGGCCGGCCTAATAACTTTGGATTCAACTTAAAACTATAGTGAAAGTTATTGGTAGCTCATAATTTTGTAATACGTGATTTTTTTCAAAATTTTCATTTTTTTTTTTGTGTTTTTACACTTTTAATTTTAGATTTTTTACTTTTATAGATCTAACCAATCATATCACTCACAGTATCACAAATTCAAAAACATTATAAACTCACGGTTAAAAATGAAGTTGTAAAATTATATTTCTAAGTTATCTTTTAAATATTTAATCAAAAACATATTTCTACAATAATAATCTGTATAATTTTTCTTCTTCTAATAGGAATGTTCATTTTTTAATATCATTATCTGATTAAATAATATATATAAAAAATATATATCTATATATGACATACAAATTTGCCGCCTTATCACTACTAGAAAACCAGGTATCAGCGACGACTATCAGCGAGAGAATTTTTCCCTCGCAGATTAGCGAGGGATCAGCGAGGGAAATGACAAAAAACACATTCCCTCGCTGATC